AATATAAATAACACAGCGATCGATTATATGTCTCATTAGTATTTTTTTGCGATTCATATATATAGATGAAAAAAGAAACTTTCCTTAAATATATAATAAAAAAAGAACTTTTTAATCTTTTTTTATAATTGAAAGTGTGAAAAAAACTTCACAAAAAAAAAAAAAAAAAAAATCGTGATCCGAAAGTGTGTCACAACTAAATCTTCCGTTCGACTTAGCCGGATGCCGGGCGTGCGGTCGAGCGGCACCGCGATCGAAATCGACGTGGTTTACTCGTTGTTTCGATACCAGTCGTCGAATTCTTACGATTCCGGTGTTACCGGAACAAGAAATCGGTCAGACTCGCACGGCTGCATACCTTTGCGTGGCGCCTCGAAAAGTGTCAATCAACTTACGCATTCATTATACCGATTCACTAATGAGGCTGGAGATTTCTTAAATCATGTTGAAATAAACTTTAATTTTTTTTTAAATTTATATTAAGAAATATCACTTTTAATAATAAACATATCTCGTATATCAACACATTTTTATATTATTTAAATAAAGGTTAATATACGACTTTATGTATCACGACGTGCGTCTATTAGTTTTATTGTAGAAAGAAGAAGTGGAATACTAGAGATTAAGAGCCTTCTTGTTTGCGGAAAGATCGTTCAACGTATGCGTGTGTATATATATAAGAGTTTGATACGGTTATAAATGTAACCTTCGAACATCGCATCGAGTGATGCGAAAGACACAGATTCAGATGCAACGCGCACGTTTCATAAGTCCGCGTATCCGCGCGCGGGTGCTACGTTCCACAGTAATCCGAAGACGAGTTTCAGCCGTGCGGAATCCAAGAGATTAGAGCTTAATCGCGAGAGTCTAATTGCTCCTCCGAGGCTACGGTAACTGTTCCAGACTGGTACGTTGTATGCCAAGAATACCGGATCTTCGTGCACACATACCAACGCGACTCGAGCACGGCTCGGGAGAAAGTCCTCCGAACGTGCGATATCCATGTTACCGTTCCGTAAAAAAAAAAATTATTTCCAACACCCATGTGTCCCGCGCGATTACAATGTCGGGGACGAGTGAGTGATGGCATTCATGTGGCGAAATTGAATTTGTATTGAAGATTAATATATTCATTTAAACCTAAACCTGGATTTAGCTAATGAAAGAGTATTGCGACAGAAATAAACCAGCAAAATAGAATTTTGATATACCACAGACACACACACACACAGTAGAATATAGAGTTGGAATTATGGTATCTCTGGAATGTTTCTCAAATCTCTAGTTTACGAGATACCATAGAATGTAAATCTGCCATAGAATATAAATATATATATATACCGATCAAAGCATTTGAGGAAATCATTTTCACGACAGGAAGCAATTATTGAGACAATGCTGTGACAATGCTTGGAAATGTACACGGATGATAATGCCCACGGATCATAACGAAATGCACAGAGCATCATTTACGGCAATGATTACGGTGCTCTTTGTCAGAGTAATTTCAGAGAGATATGGGTGTGTATAGTTTCTAGGATAACCCACTTTTTAACTGCATAAAATATTAATGAGAAATGTTTCGAAGATTTTGAAATCGATCTTTTTAATTAAACAACACATTCTTCTAAATTAATTTATTATGGAATTATTTGTTATTAATTTCTCGAATATCAGTTTTATATAATACTGTCATTAAAAGAAATAAAATAGCTACAATGAAATATTAATTAATAATAATATTTATTGTAACAGAAAATTTATTGATAATTCACAAATATCAAATTGTATATATAATACATATTTACTATTATTTATTATTATTATTTATTGACGGCATATACGTGTGTGTGTGTGTGTGTGTGTGTGTCTAACTGCCCAAATGTGCTTTTTTGACTGTAGACTATTGATTTTTGGGCTTGGCCTATTTTTGCTCCGAGGTCTGCAGTTAACAACTGCGATTTTTCTTTTTCTGATGACAAAAGTTTACGCCACCCAACCTTGATATGAACTCAGCTTTTACGAGATATAGAATTTCCCAGAAATACATTAATCTTTTAGTTACAGAGAAAGAGAGATTAAAAGTTAATTTTTCTTAAAAATTAGATTTTAAGCAAATGCATTTTTTAATAATTTGATGGAAATTCATTATTTATTAATTTTAAGTGTGTTAAAAATTATACATTTTATTAATTGAATTTTACAATTATTTTTGATTTAATAGAACACAATTTTTAAAGTCAAAATTTATTCTTTATTATCTATCTAATCCTTAATATATAATAAACTCTTTAATCTTCAACGCTTCGCAATAATTGATATGGAAACTTTGACAATGAAACAATTGTTATCTGTACCGAAAAAGATATTCAATGGGTCCAGAACACCCGCTGTGAGAACGAAATTTATTTATTGCAATGATCTTTCCTTTCTTTGCTCGTGCCCTCGCAATGAGTCTACTTATGTAGGTATCTAGACAACAAAACAAGATCCGTGTGAAAGCCGCACGGCGCTCTCCTGAATGGTTGCTGACGTCAGAGCGCGAGGAAAAATTGCGCAATTTCACCATTCCGGCCGAGGCGGAATTTGTTCGCGCAGCTTTCTTCCGGAATTGGATCCGCTCGAGGAGATGGAACGAGAGAGGGAGAGAGAGCGCCAGTGAGAAGGAGAAGAGGGAAAGAACGGGGGTGAAATGGCGATGATTCGTTTCGTAAAACATGCGTATTGTTTTGTCTGGCAATGCCTACAAAGCTTTCAATTAACATACATTAGGTATGCTAATACAGGATAATCAGTACAGTGAGTCGTAAAGATATAACAGAGAATTCACAATATTTTATAGATAAAGTTCCGAATAGGTGAACCCTCCGATTTTTTTGAAACTACACTATTTTTTGTATTTTTTAACGCTGATTACAAATATGATAATGAAAATTTGCGACAAGGTCATTTTCAAGGTCAAAACTCAAAAAAACTGAAAAAATATAAAAAATATAAATATTATTTCGATAAATATTGATGTAAGAAAAAAATGTGTCAAATAAAAGTTGTAGTTCTTGTAAAAATACATCATTTATGTTCTTACAAAAAATAGTGTAGTTTCAAAAAAATCGGAGGGTTCACCTATTCGGAACTCCACCCTAAAGTAACGATTTTTCTCGCAAACAAAAAAAATTTTATAGCGATTTATTGACTTGCACTGATAAAATTAAATTTTATCGCAAATACATTACATATTTGACGACATGTGCTAATTTCAATGTGACGAGTGTTTTAAATTAGTAGAGTATTTAACATCTCAAACACACATACAAGCTTGTTACCGCTATAGATGACACTTCTCCATTCTCAGTGACGAGTAAATTGGATAGTTTCCTTGACCCGAATAATCAGTAGATTTACGTAGCTACTTAACGTACTATTATAATAGCCTGTTACACGTAACCGTTTCTTCCTCATGCACGGATGAGCGAGTTGTGCCAGCGATCGAGAAGAAACTAGATACTTAATAAGATCGCGTGCGTTGTAATATGCGTTGACCTTTACCTAGGTACGCTTCTAACGATCATTACCGGCAGATGTTGCTTTCCTTCCGATATATCCGTTTCTCGAAAATATTTTCCGGCCTGGTTCGTTGCTCTCGAATCCTTTTCAAAATAAATCGTTACAAATGAAATAAAGCTATCCTTCTGAACTCTGTTCTTTAATCCTGGAAAGGATCAGTTTAAAAGTTCGCTCCGAGTTAACTCTTGCCCTAAATTTCATACTTATCTTAAGCGAAAGGAAAGGAGAAGTAAAACTTTGCAAAACTTCTTTAAGACATCTTGATTTTACTTTCTTAGTGATTGTAATAGATAGCCCGGAGTTGTTAAAGAGCTTAGACTATCAAAAGATGATATGTGATCGATCGAAGTTCTCGAATAAGAATAGTATTTCTAATTTCAATTTTAATCCTTTTATAGGCATAATGTATAATATATGATACTTATATTTTTTTTATCAACTTTTTAGTCTTTGCACGCATGCAAGTTCTTATGATTTTCTTACTATATTTCTCAAATATGAAAATTAAAAATTAAAAATAAAAGTGCATGAAACGTTGATTCCGCATAATTTCTTTTTAAATAATTTCTCAAAATGTAACTTTATCTTATAGTTTGCAATTAAAACAAGCACAAAGACAAATATCAAAATACGTTTTAATATGATTGAAAGAATTATTCTATTCTGCTTTCTAGTTTGCTTTTTTCTCATTAATTATTTAGTCAAACTTAAGTGAGGTTTTCGGTTTCATTTGTAATTCTATGCGCGTTAGGAATTTAATTTTGCACTATTCTGTTATATTATTTCTCATTGTATTTTTATGAATTAAATTTCTTTGTATAAATTGAAAATATCCCGCATATATTGATAACTAAATAAATAAATATGAGCACACCGCATTCTTCGAAGACCGTGGCCCTGAACGCGGGAAGGAGAACTTTCGCTGGCATCCGGTCTGCGCTCGATTTCCGCCGGTGGAGCCGAGATAGAATGGACCTTACCGAATCCGAGCTCTTGATCGGTGACTCAGACCACCTCGGTTGTACCACCCAACTCCCGTCCACGACGATGATTAATAAAGTAGAAAGTCGCCACTTACGATCAAATAAAAGGTTCGAAATTTTTGTCGCGCTGTTCATACGGTGAGAAGAATCGGAGAGCGAGTTTCTTTTTTTTTTTTTGTCTGACAATCAGGAGCGGCGAGACGATACGTAGAATTTCGATTTTTTTACTAGGCGACGATCGCATCTCTCGCAGTGGCCGAGGTGGTTTTTGGTGAAAGCCGACGACTCCGAGAGGGGAGAGTATATAGGCCGCGTGTCGTTTCAGGCGTGCTCACAACTAACGCACTCGTCAAAGTCGCCGGTGTCCTTCGAAAATACTTCGACAATCGAATCGAGTACCGACATATTTTTTCTCCGGCGTCTCGCTCTCGTGAAAAAAAAAGAAAAAAACGATACTTTCTCTCTCGAGCTTTTCGGCCGGTCCCGAGGTGGAAGAGGTGAAGAAAAGGTACGCGCTCTATAAGGGGGAGGACACGCGGCAGAGAAAGAAGTCACAAGTGCCAAGTGTGTGTGCCAATAGGATTATAACGAGTCCTGCTTGCTGAATCAGCTGAATCATCGGAGAAAAAGAGGTTTGTGACTATTCGATATGTGTTAATCGATATGTGATCAGTGATACGGTATTCCGTAAATTGTGGTGCGATTTGCAAGTTCCATTTGATATGCGACGGTTGTTTTGCGTTTCTATTTTCGAAAGAGGTGAAAGACACGTATACGAGATGACAGATATAAATAGTGTTCATCGAACAGTTATATGATATATTCCATTGTACTCGTTACCAGAGATTAATTCTTCGATATTATTCAAAATTTCTTTTTATTTATGATGGAAGAGAAAACGTATATATGTATACTATAATACATGAATAGTGCTTATCAAATTAGCTGATCTCATCAAATTAGCTCTCTCTCTCTCTCTCTCTCTCTCTCTCTCTCTGTTGGGACTTCTCATCAAAAATTGAACTTTCTTCGATCTTAGAATTCATTCGCACGCGTCAACTATTTAATTTTGTCAAGAATATCTTTCTTTGGTATATTGTCTTTCGGTAAAAAAAGTCTGCCGAAAATTTATGTATCCGCATAACTGTGTGCGGATTTGTCAAACATCGCGACGTTTTGTCATCGATGAAGAAGAGCAAAGGAGACAGCAAACGGCCTCCTCTTCGGTTTCCTCTTCGGCTGTCTCTCTCTTCTCATCTCATCCCCCCACTCGCGTGGTACCGCGCGAGCATACGTTGAAAAGGCAAAAGGGTATGTGGGGTAGCGAGTCAGTATGTCAGCGTACTGGCATCTCTCCTCGCGCGGAGAAGCGCGTCCTTCCTTCTCCGGCTCTATGTCAGAAATAAGGCCGCGCGTAGGTAGAGGGAGACCATATGTTATGCGACGCGGCAGTTTATAAAGAGTAAAAAGAGGATGAGATCGCGTTCCGTCTAACTTGTGATGGAAATGTCATATCGAATCCGATTGAGACAGCACTCTGATCTGATCGATGTATATTGGATTAATCTGACAATGAGTAACGATGCAGTCAGCCAGAAATTTTAATATCGGGGAATAAAGTTCTCACAATTAATACTAATAAAGTTGATTATATATACAGCTAAGAGAAAGAGAAGGGCACAATAGTTCGAGAGATGGTTACACGAGAGAGAAGGAGATGATTGAACTTTATCCTCTGATTGCCCCCTTAGCCGCGTAAAGCAGTCCGTTATGCTTTCTACTAGATTTCCACAAGTTCCTTTTGTCGCGGCATGATTTTCCGCTTTTCTGGGCGCGATTATGTGATCGCGGTGAAGCTCGTTAGCCGTTGAAATTCAACGCCACGTGATGGTTCCTGCAATGTTAGAAAGGCCACCGAATGCAATTTCACGCGCTCAGCAGAACGGATCTAGAAACTATTCGTCGTCCAACAGAACAATCGTACAATCTTTAATTTTGAAAAAATCTGATTTTAGTCATTATTTTTTTATATATAATTATATTTTTTTATTCTGTTTATAAAGATAAGTAACGAAAAATATAACTGACACACATTGTTTTCTTAGATGAGTTTATACAAATTATTATTAATTTATTGGTCTGAGAATGGCATGTAATAGCAATTATATTAGATGACTTTGATTTATTATCTATAGTGAATATTTATGAAGAATAAGGAAAATATTTTCTTTATTATTATATGTTCTATATATTACTTTTTTTCTCAGAGATATACGAAAGAATAATCTGTATATTATAGTGTATACAAATTTCTAGTATCGATATAAATATCTCGCGGTTGCATCAGTATGGTTTATTTTGCGCGGAATCTTCTTTCCCATTCGAGTCACTTTCACGGGAGTGCAGAATTTGGTGCACGGTGTTCCGTGTCACGTCACATTCTTATAGGGTTTCACCTGGCGTGTGTGTCCCGCGTATAACGGTACCGATGTTACGTCATGAGCACACACCTGTCACGCACGCGTCGTGAACAAAGGGTTGCACCATACGGCCCGGTAAAATAATAATACGAAAGAGGGGACTGCTACTGTCACTAGATATCTGATTTCCTTAATGTGGAACTTGGACGTTACAAAAGAAGTTTTCTTCATTGTGATATATGGCAAGCATCTTATCTTTCTGAATCGTATGCTAATCAAATTAAATGTTCATTTTTCTAAGAATTAAAAGAAATTATTTACTAATGTTAATTAACATTGCAAGCAATTTTGATTTAAAAAAATAAAACTAGTGTTAAACTAGAATGATGGACATTGGTATAACTAGCCAGAAATAGTAGTATGAAGGAAAAGAGCAAACAGTCATTAAAATTACATAGATAATGTAGAATTGTATGCATAAGAAAAAGAAAGAGAGAGAGAGAGAAAATGAAAAGAAAAAATTAATACAAGTTTAATTTTATATATATAATTTATTTATGACAATTTTTAAAAAACTATACACGCCGCAACTTATGCAATATTTGCGGAGGATTTTTTCTTGACGCGACATGGCATGATTATGTAATCTATTTTCTGATTAGCAGAGGAAAATCAATAGTAATTATGTATTGTTGATAAGAAACGGGAACATGTTTTATTTTATCGCTTTTTTGTGGTTTTTGTGTGTATTAGAGTTCAGTGTTTATTTCTAACTTGAAATTTCATTTTTCTGTTCGATTTTCTTTATCCTTTTCATTGTTTTTCTTATGCTTATACTTTACAATTGTGATGAAAACTTGTCATAGATAATTAGATTTACGACTTCTATATGCAATTAAGTCATATAACACGTGATTAGAATGAGTTAAAAAATTTCTGACAAATATAATGTATTGCGCTATATACATATGTGTAACCACTTAGACTATAAATTTACCGCAAATTGCTCCTTAAGTTTAAAAACATGATAATATCTAAATTCTATGATGACAAAACACCACCTTTTTGGAGGCGTATTTGAAAACAGGATTCTTACTTGCATGTGTGTCTTATTGTTAAATTCCACATACAAGTGTCATTCTTCCTTCCTCTCTCTTTCTCTCTCTTTCTTTCGAATATCAGACTACTTGACTGTTCTTCGCACACTATAGTATGGTCTCTCGAGAGTCAAGCGTCTATGTATGTATATGTAAATGCCGTGTACATATAAAAAGCCGGATTTTATAGCGTGCGTAAGTAGGCAGTCCTCTCCTTTTCTCTATAGAAGATCCTCGTCATCAGGAGATTTGGGTCTTCGAAACGAGATTCTTGGAGAATCTGGTTTGTTCGGAATAGACCGCATTGCTTGGACTCACGATTTTCGATAGGGTACACTGGTGATTAATTTTCGAGGCCGCTTTCTCCTAATAGAGTCCGCCTTTCTACCGATAGGTACAAGTCCCCTTTTTTGGGACATCAGTGAGTCTGTAGATTTTCGTTTCGTTGCTCACGTTCTTTATATACGATGCCCATAATAATCACTCTCTACTTTCTTCTGTTACATTATTTGAGAATATGTAGAGAGAGAGAGAGAGAGAGAGAGGTGTTCTTTCTTTTAAAATGAAATATTATTTAATGAAGAAAAGATGTACATTTTATTAAAAAATTTTGGACGTTATAACGTTATATAATCACTCTCTACTTTCTTCTGTTACATTATTTGAGAATATGTAGAGAGAGAGAGAGAGAGAGAGGTGTTCTTTCTTTTAAAATGAAATATTATTTAATGAAGAAAAGATGTACATTTTATTAAAAAATTTTGGACGTTATAATATTTTTATATACAGATTTTAAAACATACAATAAAATCTATTGTATTTATATAAATATTATTTTTTATAAATAGCTTATAAATGTGAGAAGAAATTATATAAAGCTGACTTGTTTACATATCAAATAATTATTGCTAGATTAATGTTTTAAGGCTATAAAAATACATCTCGCGCTGTAATTGCATAAATATGTACCTGGTAACGGATTTAAAAAGAATGTCTGGTCGACTTTAAAATATTCTCCAATGTCGCGTTTCCTGTGTGTATGTGTATGTGTGTGTATATTGATTGGACTTTTCAGTCGAGGAAATTCAAGTAGAAGAATATAATTGCTTGATCGGATTTAGTTCTCGAATCATGTACGACATAAAGCTCTGACGGCGTAACTATTGTTCATATACAGCCGGTGGAGATTCAGTTGAATATTGACTAAACTTGTACGAGCTTACGATAGCGCGATGAACGACTCGTCTAGACTAAATGGTTGAAGAAGCAAAGCGACGGTTCACAGTGACTGGCTGAAACTCGTCCGTGAATTTCCTCTTTTTTTTTCTTTCTCGAATGTTTTGTGGCAGCTTCAACACTTTCGATGGAGCTTTTAATACGGCGTATATTCGGTATAGTTACTTAGGATGCTCGTCAATCGACGAGCGTATAAGGGATCTCGTATGCTCTGGCGAAGATAAAAGGCCAGCCGGATGGCTAAAAAAAGCCGGGAAGAATAATCGGGGTGAGAAAATTCGATGAATGAAGGTAGTCCGTCGGGTCTTTCTCCCAGGTAAAAAAAATGCATGAGGAGAGAGAATAACTCTTATACCGGGGAGAAGGAATGTTTGAATACCCGCTCTCGAATGGACCATTCGTGAAGTATGTTACACACAATCGACCAAAGTCAAATAACGCTATTAAAGTATACATCTGTCATAATTTTAATAAATACATATTAGCGCGTTATGTATAGTAATATTATCCTTCGATCGAGACAAAATGGAGTGAATTCGCATTCTGGTAACGTCAATTTCCTCAATAATGCAGTGTTTGTCGCGTTATTAACTACATCGTATAGGAATATCTTTTCAGTTTGTCGAAGTATCCAGCAAATTATAATTTGCTCAATATTTTATAAAATTCCAATATTTAAGATTAAGCAGAATTTAAACTATTCATAAATGCGGGTACGAAATCTCATCCTACACAAGAAAATCTGTTTATCGGAAATAGGTTCGCGTCGTAGTCGAATAATGTAAACGTCGAAAAAAATTACGAAAGAGAACGTTCACTCGCACTTTCGCGTATTATCTACCGTTTGTCGTTATCCCTCGACGTGGGCCGGTTACCGTAAGCCATTTCCGGATGGACGAGTTAGCACCATGCGGGTGAGAAATCCAGGTCAGCTCACTGTTGTCGGTTAGCTTTCGAGTTTCGTTCTTATCGGTCGTGGCATTATGCAAATACAGGCCGCACAATATGCAGACCGCAAAGATTTCGAGAAATGAAAACGAAAGTGCGAAACGGCTAAGGCGAGCGCACATTCGATGAATGATTGATCATTTTTATCGAGTCCCTACTTCGTTCAATTATAGAATGGTATTATTATACGAAATTTAAACGAAGACAATATCGGAGATTAAATGTGTAGTACGCCAATCGAGATAATTAGAACGCCTTACGAAGTATACAATCTGTTTGCCCGAAAAGTCATGATAAATTTAGCGCGAGTGTTTCCGTATTCCGCGTGAGTATCGTGAAATCTCGTGCATTGCTCGCGCAGCTCTTTACTCCCGATGCCGGGTTATATGACGCTGTGCGAAACGACGATTCGCGAAATTGGACTTAGGAGAGATCAGCAGAGTCCGTATGTCGTGACTCAATTCTCAAGCGGAGAAACGATTCCTCGTTTCAACGACTTCTGCGACGTCCTTCGTGCGATTTTTTGAAATTGGAGCCAGTTCGGCGTGCCAGTGTCGCTTCTGGTTTCCATCGCATCGCGATCCTGTATTATTCGAGTCACGAGTCGAGCATCCATATCCTTGTCTTTCTCTCTCCGTCGCTCCGAAGATTTGTTCTCTCTTCGTTGCGACGACCGTATGACGGATGGCTCGCATTCCATTGTCTCGTTCTCCATCGGGAAACTGATCGATGTGATAAAAAAAATTTTCGACTTATAGTGACGCCAAAAATCGACGGCTCCGTCGCCGCAGCTATTGTTTGCATCGAATAAATTTGCGTCTTCTCGTGACGCAGGCGCTTCAAAATTTCATGTGTAATTCTCGTTTCGTTGCTTGCACATTTCAATTTTACTCTATATACGGAAGTGACATTGCTACTGAATTTTTATCGCGAGAATACGAATGGAAACATTGTATATATGCTGCAGTGAATATTACTTACGTCACTTTCTCATTACGGCATCTCTAATTTTAACCTTTCCATTGAAAATCTTTTTTCAATGAAAACTTCATTCGCGCGCGCGACGTGTGACGAGATATCTCGTCCAGCGCGTGTCTTTCACCTGTGCTGTAAGATCCCTACTACTCTCGGAAGAGAGAAAAAGAGATCGAGAGAAGGAACACGCGCGAAAAAAAGAGTAGGAACGATTGAATGCGTGGTAGGGGCACCGCCGTCGACGGTGGGCCTGTTTGGGCCCGACGTCGCGCGTAAGGTGGAGGGCGAGAGGGGCGATGGACGAGCGCGATCGAGATCTTCAGTAGGTCACTGGGACGTGGCTCGTGGCCGAGACGAGTGTGGCTCGCACCTTCAGTCGGTCCCCGTCGACCAGGAAAACCACCTCTGGGCCCGTCGAATTCCCGCGATCGGACACGAGAGCACGACGGTAAAAATAAAAAAAAAAAGAAAGAAAGAGATAAAAGAGAATTGAGGGAAAAGGAAAAAGCGCATAGCGGGCCTAATGAGGACCAACTGACGCGAGTTGTTGGAGCCTTCCCGTTGCGGTCGGTGCATTCGTGGGTTCGTTAAAGGGGAAGAGCAGGTGGCTTTCGCGGGGGGATTGTCCAAGTGATCGCGCGTTTCTTCCGTAGAACGAGGCTCTCAGGAACCGGAAGGATACGCAACGAGGTGCATCGATCAATTGTTCTTCTTTCGTTCCGGACGCGTTCCTCATTCCGAAGAAGATTCGTAATCGTGCGTGCTTTCGTTTACTCGCGAGAGATGCATTTGTCGTATTGAATCGTCGATGTCGTTACAAATCTGCCTACGAGCATTCACAGATCTTAATTTTGATTTCGATAAACAGACGAGCATAATGAACGTTAAATTGCTTTTTATTATTACAGACTGTGATCGTATTTTGTAAATTTTGCAAAACGCGTACGACTCGCGATGGACGTGTATGCACGACGCACAATAATTTTTTTTTCTTACATTTTTAAAAAGTTATAAAACATAGAACGGTGTGGTGATTTTATACGGTGTTACGCAAGTGTATATTTATTTTCAAGATTAAATAGATTTTGGGGACGTTTCTGATCGCAAGTTCCGTGTTCTGAGAGATGTGGGTTAAATGTTGATTGCGTAACGTTATGCGTGCAGCCGTTGACAAGTAAATATGTCATTCTTGCGCGTCCGACTGGCAACAATCGACGGTTATCTTTTGACTGTGTCGTTTTTCCTGCATACTTTGAACCTCATCTGAATTCTTTGTTTAAATTCAATATAATTTTGTTTAATTATATATTTAAACCCAATTATATTGTAAATTTAAACAAATTTATTAAGATTTTATTTATAATTGTATAATTATTAAGATTTTATTTAATTATTTTATTACCAATCTTACAGACATGTTATCGAGTTATTTTAACAAATAAAATTGTATTATTGTAAATTCATATGATTGATACGATCGAAGATCGTTTGAAATCTCTCCCCTTTATATCGATAGATAATATGACACTTATAACGGTGTAATTAATTTTTTCAAGTTTCTTTTTTTATTACAGAGAGGACACGCACATGATGGAGAGGACGTGGCGGAATATACGGAAGATAGCTTTTATCCTATTGCTGCCCTTATTATTGGCCGTGAGTAAAGCACATTATTTTCTCAAAAAATTAATCATAGAATCAACACGCATTCTTGCGTACTAATTGCAAGTTGAACATAAATCCAGCAAAATCGCTTTAATAAATGTGCAGTTTTTTTCCAATAAACTTTTAAATACTTAGCGATTATAAGTTATTCTTTTCTTTTCTGTGCGTGAGATGAATGGATTCGAGTACATAGTGGATTCTAATGCTGACGCTTCGCGCGTTAATCTCGCGCAAATGAGCCGAATAAATCATTCATGCCAAACGCATTGCCAATCTTCTAATTCCGCCGGAGGTCGATTACTGCATTCCCGCGTGCGTGCGCGTCGCGATACTACACATCCGTTCATAACGCATCATAGCAAATCCGCATGCCAACGACGATCGACAGTGTAATTTCACTGCGCAATAATTTCTCAGTTGAAACAACGGAAGATTATACTATTCGCGGTTAGCGCGCATTCTCTCTCTCCTCCTTTAAAGTGACAGACAGGTCGTTAATACGGTATAACCGTTATGTGTCGCTGTTCAAGTTATTTACGCACCTATGTGGTGTGTACCTTCGCGTGACGTATCGTAAATTATATATGTTTAGAAATGGAATTATTAGAGCGATCCAAAAATATTCTCTGAATATTGATTAAATCTGTTTCTATTCGCGAAATGATATATAATGTTGTGTTTATCAGAGTATTTTATTAATATGAATATCGTACATGGATTTGCTGACAGTATGAATAATTCTTGCATTCATCTTCCGGGTGATATATATGTATAATCGACTTTTTCGAAGATATCAAAAACTAAGAGGATTTGCATATATCTCCGGCGTGAAATATTTATTGAATTCGTAACGCGTTGTCTTTTTTTTTTTAATCAAAAACATTATCTGGATGTCTCTGCTGTACGAACATTTTCAAATCTTCGAATCCACTTCATTATCTTCGCATTGAAAGATATCGTCCCACGCAAAGATGCAAATATCCGAAGAAATTCTGAGACACATTCGACGGAAAGAGACGGTTGTCGAAATGTTAAAAGAAGAAACTGATGCAATCGTTAAAAAAAAATCATCCGGCGAAAAGTGATACTTCATTGATGCTTAATGTTTCCCTGAGACCGCTATGCGCCGTGTGTACGTGCCCGTTGGCCGAGAATCAACACGACGTTAAGTTAATGTTTAAGAAGAATCACCCGTAGCCGCGGGCGCTACCTGTGCCACATATATAGCCGTGGCTTTCCGAAGCAAAAGTCTGAATGAAGCGGCCTGCAACCGCATCGGAAAATCGGTAAATACGGATATGGCTGGCGGGGACGCGCGTACAAGTCAGCGTCAATGATGATCGTTTGATGATTGTTCTCAACTCCACGTGGGAATTGACTCTTCCGCGTGGGAACTGAATCAATCGTCCGTAGAAAATTCTCATCAACGACAGTGCGATTATCTGGTGCATCTATGTCATATTATATATATTTTTGTTAACACGATCGCGTTTATTGAAAAGTATTGCAAGCGAACAAAATGATACATGCAAAATTTTTTTTGGAAGGGAGGAGGGATAATAGTTTCGAGGAGATTATACAATCAATTTTTTTTTTTTTCTTTTTCTCGGTACGTTTTTTCCGTGATATTTTTTCTTTATTTGTATGCGAGTTCTCTTATTGCGGTTTCCATTTTTATGGTGGTTTATCTGGTGCATCGCACTGAATTAAAAATCGCTTGCAGAGGACGCGTTAACTTCGATAACATAGTTTTGATCGATCGTGACAGTTCTTGCAGAGCTGCACTAGCCTTTGCTCTTGCAAAAATAATGAATGAATAAAGAATAGCTGGCGATACAAAAATTTTATACTATGACATACATTGAATTTTTGAAAGGGTGACTACCAAAGAAAATTAGTTTTCTTATTTCGCAGTTTACGGAGCTCTCTTGTGAGCGCCTTTTCCCTCGCTAATATTATTTATGTAACATCGTTCTCGGCAACATAGCGGGAAACATAAGAAAAATGTCGAGCATAGCGAGATTTAACGCGTTTAATAATTGATGAGAGAAAACACGGTGAAAGAACCAAATAAGACTCGCGTTTGCGAGAAACTGGTGCACATACGGACGTTGTAATTTGTAATTACCTCCGATATATTTTGAGATTTATCGAAGAGACGAGCACAGAACGGGCGCGTCGAAAGGAAGATATGCGTGTGGTATAATCTACATGTTTCCTTTCGCACACGCAGCGTGACAGCGTGACACGCAAATGTAATAACGCCGAATGCAGTCATCAGACGACGACGAAGGATAAAGTAGGAGGAAATACACGGCCGGTGCATCTACGCCGTGTACACATATATATCTGCATTAGTGTATCTCTGTCGCGTGTATATGCTTTACACACTCTAACAACGGCTGTCTACATAGCCGAGCCGTCGAACCGAAGATAGTAGGTCACTGCGCCGGACGCGATGCCCTCTCTTTCAACTATACTCTCTAGACGGTGCTCTCTCTTCGTCTGTGTTTCCCACTGTCTTCATTTCTTTCCCTCTTTCTCTTCATCCTTCACCGACTACCTTTTTCGTATTCTCACCTGTCTCCGTTTCTCTCACGCTTTTTCTTTTCCTCAATCATGTCTCTGTCTCGCTCCTCTTGCCGGGATCTCTATTTCTTCCCTTCCCTTTCTTTATTACGAGTAATATAGCACGACGCATAACTTTATTTGTATTAAACAATCGGTAGTTAACTTCCTTGAGAAAGCTTGCGGACAAAAGGGATCTTTTGTGAATATTCTGATTTGAGAGTTCACATTGTTTGAATCGAGCATATTTAATTTAACGTCAAATTTACGGATTTTAATAAGAAATATTGTCTGTTTATTAAAATCCTTAATTCGAACAAAGTAAATCTGAAAAATGCATAAACGCGCGTTCTAAAATGTTTTTTCTAATAAAAAAATTGAACGCCCTATGATATAAAACTAATGAAAAGTTTTTAGGAAATTTATTACCAAAATGAAACATTAAATAGAGTTTTCCTTAATACGCATAGCCGATTCCATTAGTTACGAATGAGAGAGTGACTTCGCTTACCGCGTTGAGTCAGGTAGCGAACCCTCTTCATAGTTTTGACGAGATTAGAAAAATCTTCAAAGGTGCCGTCATATTGGGACGGGGTTGTGGAGATAGAGGGTTGCGGTTTAACCGTAGAACACGAAACTAATGCATCTCACTAATTCATCTCGACTATAGTCCGTGCATAATCTTTTGAAGTTGCAATACCTTTGATTCTCGCGCGCGTTTTTCAGTCTTTATTTTCTCTGATATCACACGCAACACGGGAGGAAAAAGCAATCTAAAATAAGTGCTGCATTAGACTAACATTAATTTGCAAAGTTAATAAGAAATTAGCATGCGATTGTGATCACGTCGTTTCTTACGAGATGACAAGTAGAAACGAAGAAATTCATTATTCCTGATTTCCATTTATTTTTGATATTACGACTTATATCATTTAAATGCGACAAGAATATATAACGTGAAAAAAGCACAGGGACCAAAGCATGACTGGAAATATTAGAGGAACAGAGATATAACAGACGGAAATGATTGTTTCGTTTTTTAAAAACGAAGATACGTGATTCAGTATTGAAAGTTCTCTTAACCGTAGTATCAGACCGCCATTGACAACTCGTAATGAATGGGAATGAAACCGTCCCTGTATATTTGCGATTCTTAACAACGTGCAATCTTGCGGATGACCACAGAGTCTCATGCTGCACTCGTTCCGGCAGCCAGTTTAGCGATCTTGTAATTCGACATCGTTACCGGCCTTTCCCATGTTGTGTTTCAACCGTCGATGACGATCCTGTAATCACGAGATACCGCCTTACGCGAAACTGTTAATTTTTTTAATTGCATTTTATTCGCTCTTAATGAAAAACAAGAGAAAATTGTTCTCTTAAAATAAGTTCGTTTGAGAAGATAATGGTATCATTTTTTTTTTCTAAAGAGAAAAATTATATTCACGCACGGATATTGTCATCTTTATTTTGCAAAAATGTGTGTGTATGTGTGTTATAGATGATATATACAGTAAAAGTTAATTGTAATAACAACTTTACATTTTTTGGAATAATAAATTGATTTATTAATTTAGTGAATCTGTAGTATCATAGGTCTAGGATCTTTAAATCTAGGTTTATAGATATGTACATCTTTATGAAGATGCTTATATATATTATAATGTCTATATATTTGATTACAAAATATATTCTTTTTTCTGATGCTATAAATAACAATAAGTATAAATATAACAGAGAAATAACGTCTTTGCTGAGTTTCTTAAAGTATTATTATTATTAACTTTGTTGTTGATATTATTATCAGCCTTGGTATTTTATTATTTTGCAGTCTTATATATAATTGGCAGTTACCGCAGAGGATTGCAGTGATTGAATACAGCCTTCTAAATAATTTGATGACGATACTTAAATCGTAAAACTATGGTTTTGATTCAAGAACAGGCTAATTTTCCCCTGGCGGAATTAATTTATTTTAAATCCCTGCTGTTTATAGTAATTTGATTGTTCTTTTATGAGGACCCTGCAGAGCTCTTCGTTGTTATTAAAACATTCCAGCTTGTATCTATTATTGTTTGTCTGAAGGGAAAGAGCAAACGTTAATATGAAATATTTTCTGATATCCTTACGCTTATCCCAGAAAAGGCATCGAGGAAATAATAATGCAATTTTAATTGTACAATAGATTAAAAAAGTAGAAGCTAAAAATAAAGTATGCTATGTTTGCATTATATCATATATTAATCGTTGAAAAATTTCGCTTTGAAATCCTGCGCGTATCAGAAATTTTAATTGCCTATGTGTTTTTCCGCGGGAGAGAATTATTACTTTTTTTATTGTATGCATATGATATATATGCAGAAGCTGGGTACACACCCTTATGTGAATGAGATTTTCATAACTTTTTAATCGCGATACTTTCT